ACTCCTTTCAAATGATGATAATTTATTTTTATTCCAGTGGAGATAACAGACTCCATGTCACAAAAAAATATTTTTTAAGAAAAAATACATTGTCTCCTTAAGATACACATAACTTCAAGAGCATTTGGCAGACAATTAAATGTATTTTTCATGTTCTGGTTTTTTGGCTGCCAAAAGTCATTTAGACTGGAGTTGTGCATTGTGTAGATGGACTTGCCAAAACTTACAAAATGATTCCCATTACTTCAAGAATGAACAACCATGGCTAAGTACTGCTAAATGGGAGCTGCTTCAGAAATCAAGCAGCCACACAAATTTAACTAAGAACTTCTAGGAGATTTATAAAGATCCTCTTAAAACATCAGTCCAGCATCACAGTTAATAACAATAGGTCATCCTCTTAATTCTGAGATCAAGAAGGTAAAATGGTTGAAGGGAGTCCTTTTAAAAGTGGACAGCATGCCCTGTGAGGTTAAGGGAATTGTCAAACGGAAAGGCCCACGATTTCAACAAAGGCCATTTCACTGCTCCATTGCACCTGTGTTCAGGGACTTTTTTAAAGTATTACGTTTACATTTTTATGTCAGATTTCCCCTAGATGCCCAATTTCTGCTGCAGAATATCATGATTTTTCATATGAATAGCATCATTGTATTCATCACATTTTGCATAGATGTGTTTAGGAGGACTCCCTAAATGACAAGGAATTCTAACTATCACTTTCTGAATTTGATTTGGAAGCCTAAGAAAAAAAGATGAGTTATAGTCACATCCTGGCATAACACTGCCACCTGTGGCCAATTCCACACAGTAAAGCACAAGTCTAAAACACTCCTTTATTCTCTACACTCCTCCTCTTCTTGACAGCACCTTACTCTTTACTACCAATCACATTTCCCTTTGGATAAAAATGCTTCTTAAATAATCAAAACTCTTGCCATAACCCACTGCTTGGGAATTTCTTCTTTGAAAAGAAATCTACAAAGAACTTTAACCATAAGGTGATACTCAGAGTAAGTGATTTCAAAAACTTCTTCATCCAGCTGTTTGCAGTGCCTTCACCAATATAAGGCCAGCAGGAGAGATGTTTGGGAGAGGGAACCCTACAGCCCCTAGTGTAAGCAAGATAGAAGCAGCCAACTCAAAACAGAATTCAGCTATTGTGTCTATCTGAAGTTCTATTTAAAATTTCCCTTTGTCACTGGGCATGGTGACGTATGTCACGGTTACATGGGAGCAAGGCAGGAGGATGGCAAGTTCAAGGGCACCCTGGACAACTTCATGAGACCCTGTATCAAAATAAAACATAAAAGGTGTTGAAGAGGTTGCTCAGTACAAGGATCTGGGTTCAGCCTCAGTACTGAAAATATATTTTTCTTTTCTTCTACAGTACTACAAAAAATGAAAATTTTTTGCAAATCTGCAAATTTTTTTGAATAACAAATATTTGCTCTAGTTGGAACCTTTAATCCCTGCTAGCAAAATAGGGTGTATACAGTACACATAAGAATAAAAACCCCCCAGTCTGGGTGCATGCTTGCAGACTTACATACTTCCAACACTTGCAGACTAAGGAAGGAGGATTGTGAGCTCAAGGCCAACCTGGGCCATGTGGCAAGAGCCTGACTCAATAAATAAGTAAATAAATTCTAAACAATAGCCCTTGATATTAGGATTATCATTGAGTGAAACCGCTAAATATTTTTTTAAATTAATGATTAAGTTGCCTCAATGATTAACTGTCACATATTTTCAGGTGTTCTGTAGGTATCTCTGGTAAGAACCGTGTTTATAAGTGTCAAGATGGTGCCTGTGTAACTAGAAACTGCAGAATAAATTCTACCACGAAGCTGTATGAAAAAGATTGTCAGTTCTTCCCTGATAAAGTTCAAACAGAAAAGGCATCTATAATGTTTACACAAAATATAGAATCTGTAAGTATGCCAATCTTTGTTTTCAGAATTTGTAATCATGTTTTTAACATATCTACTTAGGAAACCTGAGATTAAAAATGTTACTATTAATAAAAAAAGTTTTTTAATGTATTAACTGGGAGCCAATAGTAACCAGTCAGTATAGCTATTATTATTATCAGAATTATTGAAAATGTACCTTACTCTACTATTAATTGAATAATCATATTCTATTCGATAAACAATAAAATTACAGAATAAATTGCTATTCTTTCAGGTTTACAGATAGATTTTTAAATGGACAAGATAATTTTAAAATCTTTTATCATATTAACCTTCTATCCTAGATTGTTGAATTCTGTAATGAAGAAAATCATAACCGAGAAGCTCCAAGTCTACAAAACCTAAAGTGTAATTACAGAAGTACCTGGGAGGTCATCAAAGAGTCAGAGGATTTTAAAAGCACCACACCTATGGTGGCACCACCTCCTCTGCCTACTTTTTCTCTGCTGAAAATCAAGGAGAGAACTGTATGCTTAGTTCTTGATAAATCTGAAAACATGAAGGTAAGTATTGTGGGACTTAATACTTAAGAACCCTCAGCTCTACCTGAGCATGGGCTGTTCTAAATTTCACAACAGCAGTAAGAAAGCAACTCAAGAGGGGAAGGGAAATACGTATTGAGGCAAAGACACCAACAGAGTTAAGCAGACCTAACTGACATGGTTTTTTTCCAGAAAATGGAGGGTTTACTGTGGTGATTTTTGGGCCCTTAGTGAGGCTCAAATTGGAGGATCAGAACTATAGATTAAAATATGAGCATATTTTCTAACTTTGTCCTATTCCTCTACTGGAAATACTTGACAGGAATGAAGATAGAGTGTACTAGGGACTCCAAGTCAAGGAATAGGTCAAACAGGACTCTGAGTGCAGCTTTATCTCATATGTAAGATGCACATACATGACTCATTGTTGTCATAGACAGAAGTAAAAGGCATCTATAAAGAAAAAGAGGCCAAATGCAACCAGTAATTTTTAATACTAAATGCAATGAGAGAAGACATTTTTGCGATGCTCTGGGGATAGATAGGGTTTCATGTGTTTGAGGTATACACATATTCCTCATTTAATGACCTTTCTGTTAAACAAGTCAGACTTGCAACAGAGGTGTGCTGTGAACCTTGGTCAGACTTATGACCTGCATTTGGATGTGGAATGGAGCTTTATGGGGCTTCTTCGACATAATATAATACTGTCATTTTTGCTGGCTGTATTGCACAGAACAGTACTATAGTTTTATGTTCTATTATACACTACAGTAATACATATAAGTTATGTAAGTAAAAGCAAAGTCATCAAGGTGAAGTTTCCTTTGGTCATTTCTTTGTTCTGAATTTTTTTTTGTCTTTTTCCTTTTTATCAGTACTGGGGATTGAACTCAAGACAGCCTTCTTATAAGACAGGCGCTTATGCCGCTGAGCTAAATCCCCAGCCCCGCTTTGTTCTGAATATTGTAACACACATACTACATACAATTATTTATTTAGTGACCAATTCACCTAATGACCTAATCGCAGGAACTGAACTCGGCATTAAAGAAGGAGCATCTGTTTTAGCTAAAGAGAGAACATTTTCTTGAAGTCTTTCTTCATTTACTGGTTACCTAAGACCCATCCTTCAAAACTGGTAAAACTACCCATGTCCTCCAGGAGGAGATGAGCTGGGCTTCCAGGTTGAGTAAAGTCCTTCTGCTGGTCCCCACAATGACCTATGCCCACCTGCTATTACTATATATTATGTTATTATTGCACATCACACCACTGTCTCACTAAATTGGAAGTTTATATAGTGTGGACCTATGTCATTCATCTTTGTATCCTGTCATCTAGAATAGTTACATATGTCTATCCCTACTAGGTTGAGGGATTCTCTAGAAAATTAAATTTTGATACACATTTGAATCTCCATGACTTGGAACACAGTTGGATGATCAATAAATAATTATTGAAATAAATGGATGAAAAACAAGCAGATGTAATATAATAAAGCATCCAAAATGATGGCACATTTGAGACAGAACAGAGCATGCTAGGAGTCAAAAAATAAATTCTGCAGCAAATGGAAAAGGTCAGAAGCTTATAACTAATTGTTCAGAAGCAAGAAGTGTGTGTTTTAGAATTCAGCCCCAGGTCTTGGAAGTTTCTATTCTCCAGGTAATAGAACTATCTAGATTTATTCTGTGGGGTCGGGGGTAGTTTTATCTTGAGCCAACTGGCACAGAGGTTTAAGGAGTGATTATAGAATCTCTAAGATATGAACTGCCACTCCCCAATTCCAATCTGCTCTTTCTTCTATTCCTATCACTAATTTGGGTACTTAGCAGCCAAGAGTTACCGTTAATAAAAGCATGAGCTCCTTGCTAAACTATGTGTGCTCCATAATACATTGTTTCCTTTAATTACTGTTTATACCAAAGTCTTGCCATACTTTATATGATCTGCTGTTACCCTTCAGGCAAAACTATTTGGTCTGTTTTCTTGTGATTCACCATTTAGGATTTAAACCGGCTAAATCGAATGAACCAAGCAGCTAAAATTTTCCTGCTTCAAACTGTTGAAAATGGTTCCTGGGTGGGAATAGTTGCTTATGATAGTACCGCTCACATCAAAAGTAAGCTAGTCCAAGTAACTAGCTACAATGAAAGAAGAAAACTTCTAGAGAGCTTACCTACAGAAGCTTCAGGAGGAATTTCTATCTGCTCTGGAATCGAATCTGCTCTTCAGGTAAAAATTGTTCTGCAAAAAATAGTCTATCTTTCTTAATTTTAAGGACATTTCTATGTTAATTGCTACTGCAAATACTTTCTGCATTTTAAAATATTTTTAAAAGCACATGGACAGGCACATATAGTTTTATTTTCTCTTTTTTCTAATTCCTCATCTGTCCATTCAATCGAGGAACAACTGATAATGTCCTGAATTCTGTTTGTAGGTAATTAAGGAAAAACATCATCAAATAGAAGGATCTGAAATAATACTGGTAACTGCTGGGGAAGGTAACAGTGCAAGTTCTTGCCTGGACAGAGTGAAACAAAGCGGGGCCATTATTCATTCTATCGCTTTGGGGCCTTCTGCTGATCCCATACTAAGTGTGATGAGCAGTATAACAGGTAAATTATGATCCATATATTCTCTGAAGGCAATACATGAACATAGAACCTGACAAATTTTCTTGAGCTCCACCTGTGCAGGTCTCCATTTTCATGGTGCTCACAGTCCCACAAGGTGAAAAATGAATAAAATTGCTAGTCACATAATAAAATAATGAAACAAAATTCCTTCACAAGAGGAATACAGTATATGAGAATAAAGTTGTATGTGAGCAGAGGAAGCCATCAATTTTCCCACGACTGTACAGAGTAAGGGACAGAAGGTAACAGAAATGAGGTGACTTCTGAGCTGGGATTTGAAGGTGTCAATTTCTCTTTGGAAAAGGGTAAGAGAAGATAACTAGGGCATGAAGGGGGAAAATATTATGTTACAGTGACAGTGCAAGGCACATGGAGGGAACAGTATTCCCATGAGCCCACAGCATAGATTCCCATCCCTGAGACCATAGAATAAGCCCACTGATGGCTAACCTTTAGAGCTTTCGAGGACAGTAAACAGCCCACTGCACCACCTATGCTATAGGTCCACCCATCACTGGATAAGGTAGGATACAACTGACAGAAGCTCAGGCTGAAAAGCTCTAAATAACAATGACATTTCCAGGTAAATATTAACCATGGTAGCTGTTATTTTTTATTTAGAGTCATGTTTCTAAATGTGGCAAAGAATGAATAATTTATAACATGCCAATTATTGCATTAAGTTGGTATCTAAATATACCAAATATATAATTGCTTTATAAATGCCTAGTTGCATAAACATCCAATTTTTTTTCAAAATGTATTTAGGGCCACTTTAAAATTTATCTCTGACTCAAATGGCTCCACAAAATTAGTAAATTTGGGGGAATCATTCTGCTTTTTTGCTATTTTTCTACTTCCTCAGTGACAGTTACTCTCCATATAACTGAATATTGCATCTCTCTAACTTTTTTAATTTGTTGATTCTGACCTCAACTGGACAACCTAAAAGTCAATACTATTGAGAGTGTAACTTAAGGAAAAGTGAACAGTTCTCCTAAAGGACTGCATAAAGACATCAAGGACTTGTATGTAGAATTGTAGCATCTTTTTAGAATTCTGTGGTTATTTGATGTATTTCAGCAGACTAAAATTCTCAGGTAAGCAGGATGATGAGGTGCTTCCTAATTATAGCATTTCTGAAATAAAATTGAGTTAATCTTTGTATCCATCTCATTTCAGAATTTTCTATTTTAATAGCAAAACTGTGGTTTCTGTTTATATTGTTACCTTATAAGTCATTAAAATGTGATAAATAGCTGCTTTTGAGAAAGTGACTTTGTTAATGGATTTACATTTTAGGAGGAAAACATTATTATGCTTCAGATCAAGCCTACAGGAACAGTCTCACTGATGCTTTCAGGCCCTTTGGATTAGGAAATGCTCATCTCTCCCAGGGATCCTTTCAGGTCAGAGCTTTCACTCCTTGGGCTTTCAACTATGCATTTAGCCATAAATAAGAAAGAAAAAAGATACTTATATGTTTTAAGTGCTTTTTTACCTTTAATTTCTATTTTTGTGGATGGGTAACTCAGGGACTATCTTCTGAACTTTACCAGATTTTTAAATACTAAAACCAACAGCAAGGTATAAAACAACTTCATCAACAAAAGCAAATCTCTTAAACTTTGCTTTCTTGGTTTCTCATTTGAAATATGAAACCGTGTGACATTACTATGTAAAATTCCTGGTAACTTGTTATAAAGTTTTGAACTTTTCAAACCATAAAAAAGGTAAGATTGTGAAGTTCTAGTCTATTTAATCTAATGAAGTAAGGGAAAGTAACACTAACAGATAACTTCAATTATTTTTCTTATAATGGATTTAAAATAACACCAAACCCTAATAATTTTATATTAAACTTCCCAAACTTAGATTTTGTCAAATAATACCTATTATTCTAAAAATTCACTTAAAAAGTCTCATTATTTCCAAGTTCTCTCCCCACCACAGTTTGATAATTGTGAAATAGGTTCAAATGATTGATAACAATACTTCATCCACTCAAAGACTTCATGGAAGACATGGATTTTGTCAAAGCAACCATGTTTAAATAGTAGAATTACCCAGTTCAGAAATGGAGTCAAGATAGGATTACAACAGAGATTCTCTGCTCCTGAAATGACACCGTTCCAGAAAGCATCTTTTTTGTCAACAAATAAAGTTAGACCATATTCCTAAGAATTATATGCAAAGATTCTAAAAACTCTTCCTTTGAAAAAAATGTTTAAAAGACAAGAGATGACATTAAAGTAGGAAACTTATTAGAGAAGAGGAAGAAGATCCAGAAGTGAGGCAAGGAAAAAAGAGAGGTAGTGAGTAGGTGAGAAATGATTAAAGGAGGTCATGTGCATCTACAGGTGAAGCTCGCCATTTTATATAACCAACGTGCACTGATTTTAGAAAAAACTTTGGTGTTTCTCCCAGAGAAAGTTACTATCTCTCACTTTCTTTGCTCCCATAGTTTCCTACTCTCATATTCATCATTTTGCCATATTTGTCTCTAAATATGCCTACAGTTAATTCTTTTTTGTAGGTGTAGTACCCTTTAATGCTAAAGCTTTAAATGGGCATTTGCCAGAATAACTGTGAAATAATGCTGAGTATATTGTCAATGGTAAAACCTATTCTCCTATTCTAATGCTTTCTTTTTTATTACACTGATCTTTATTTAGGCCCCACATTTCTACACTGTGACAAGTCTCAAGTCTCAATCAATTTTCAGAGAGATCACAGCCCTAGGGTCTTATGCCACATGCATGCTTGCTCTCTGGCCAGATTATTGAGAACAATCTTTAAAAGAAAAAAAGAGTGAAATGATTTCCTTCTGCAGTCATTAATTTTTAAAATGTGTTTAAACAGCTTGAAAGTAAGGGGTTAACCCTGAACAATGATCCCTGGATGAATGGCACTGTGATAATTGATAGCACTGTGGGAAAGGACACGTTCTTTCTCATCACATGGGAAAAACAGCCTCCCAGTGTTTCTCTCTGGGCTCCCAGTGGAAAACCGGTAGGAAGTTTCACAGAAGACACTGCTTCCAGAATGGCCTATCTCAGTATTCCAGGAACAGCACAGGTAAGCAGTCATCTTCTAGATTTCTTTTAAAATTTCAGAACATAAAAATAAATTGTTTAATGTCAAAAACATAATTTTTAGATGCCTGAGTACCAAGAACTGCACCATGCTCAAAGCTGTGATAAAATAGAATGCTCTTTTCATTTATGTATTATCCTTTTTTTTCTTTTTATTATTTAAGGAGAAAAAGAAAAAAATAGAAAAAGGGTACAAGTTATACAGAATTTCAGAAAACATAAACAGTAGGAAATCACTAGTTAATAGATTACATATTGTTATCTTAGAAATAGTTGTTCAAGTTACAAATTTAAAGCATATAAAGTGGACTTTCAAATAGTGAGACTCGAAACATTTTTGTTCAATGATCCAACAAAACTCAGTAATATGGTTATCTATCTTATACACTTAAATATATATGCAGTTATATTCTTTAGAGCACTTTCTTTTCCTTTCTTTTGTTCAATGACAATTACACATTTTGGGTTTTATTACTCCCACAGTTCTTATTACTTTTTTTTTTGAAGAGAGTAAAACCAAATGTGCCATAACAAAACAGAGTCAGTCAAATCAAAAGGATGGACATAATAGATAATGTAAAAACAAAATACTAGGTGATCAACAATGGTTACCATACTGCCTCTTGCTATCTTAAAAAGAATTGCCTATATTGTCAGTTATAATAAAATTGAACAAAACAGTAAAGAATAAGACCAAAACACTGGAGACATTACAGGACTTTAAAAGAAGATAATAGTCAACCGGAATGGGCGTCATAATGAATCTTATTGTCTTCACAGTTTTGCCTATGCTTTCGAACTTGGTACTATCAAGAAAAGCAGAATAGAGGAAAGTCAGTCAAAGCAAGATGGTGAGGGCTATACAGAGTTTCAAATCAAGTTAGTAGGAAATCAAAGTGGGTTACTATAATGTATCCTGCTATTTTTTTATTTTTCCCTTAATTAAAAAGATAAAAATAAAAAAGTAAATAATTTTTAAAAAGGAGATTGAGATAAAAGAGGGCATAACAACAAAACAGCACAGGTCAAAGCATAACCATTTAAGCAAAATAGTGTTTCACCATAAATTATCCTGACATAAAAGTAGTTACCACAGTGTCTCTTTCCTTGAAATCTCTGAGTATAACTTTGTATACTATAGTACCAAACATATCAAGACAATGTAAAACCATTCAAGAGAATGACAGTATTACAGGGTATTTAGAACCAACTATCAGAAAATGAACAAAGGTTTCTGTATAATCTCCTTGTCTATAAAAGTTTTTGCTTATATTATCACATATAATAAAATCCAATAAGATACAACCTAAGAATCTGATGGGAGACAAAGTAAGAAGAGACAAATGGGTAAAACACAGGTTCCCAAAGAAGAATTTTAAATAAACCTAGAGAATCTTTTGAACAGCATGTACATCTAGATAAAATATGCTTCTCTATTTAATTTTTTTAGTTTTGTTTTGTTTTTGTTTTTGAGACAAGAACTCACTATGCAGTACAGGCTGGGCTTGAACTCACTTATGTAGCCCAAACTGGCTTCAAGCTTAGCAATTCGCCTGCCTCAGCCTTCCTGGGACTATAGGGGTACATTCCCATATCCAGCTTATTCAGTCTTTAAATTTTTATTGGCACATGTTTGGAGCGCATAATGACTATATTCCTCATGGGGAGTTGGTACATACACATAATATATTTTAATTTATTTTTTATTCCCTCCCCCTGTCTTCTTTCTCCCTCTCTCCATCTCTTAATCCTCTTTCCTTTTGCAAAGATCTATCTCCCTATTTGCTATTTTTGTCTTTTATTTGCACTTTAATTATTTTTAAAATATTGTTCCTAATTAATCCCAACCAGAATTATATAATAATGGACTGTGAGGCCAAAGAACAAAGGTCCAAACCAAGGTCACCATTCAAACAGTTATTGCCTCAGCTCTCATCTATAGGATACTATACAATCCCTCAAAAGTTTATTTGTTCTACAGCTACTTCATGAATGTCTTTACCCATGCTATCATGGCTACCTTGATGTCTTAACACAACTCAAAACATTTACTTTTCATTGGCCATTTTGACTTTGAGGAAAAGTCAGAAGTTCTACTGTACCAGATCTAGTGAATAAGGAGGATGAGACACCACAGCCTGTCTTTCCACTGGATGGCAGGAGATAGCAGCAGTCATCATGGTTTTTATATCTTATAAAGATACTCAAGGATGAGAGCTTCCAGAACAGTCTGAGAAAGTGGCAAACAATGGAATGTACTCAAGGCAAGGAGTATCTTGAGAGGCACCAATGGCAATAGGTCTTTGACTATGACAATTTCTTTTTACTGTCGACACTCGCCATATTTTGATTTATTTTAGAAATGTATAATGAGAACACAGAAATTAATTTGACAATGGATATTTAATGTTTGCACTGCACATTTTAGGTGGGCATTTGGACTTACAGTCTTCAAGCCAAAGCAAATCCAGAAATATTAACTATTACAGTAACTTCTCAGGCAGTAAATTCTGCCGTGCCTCCAATCACAGTAAGTGCTAAAATGAATAAAGACACAAACACCTTCCCTAGCCCCATGATTGTTTATGCAGAAGTTCAGCAAGGGTATGTGCCCATTCTTGGAGCCAGTGTGACTGCTGTCATAGAATCAAACACTGGACACACACAAACTTTGGATCTGCTGGACAATGGTGCAGGTAATTCACAGAGTTTTATAAGTAAATTTATATTTTCATAACTTGGGATATGTTATAGGTCCCAGAGACAATATGAAGCAGAGAGACAGGCATCAAAAAAATTGAGGCAGATTATGGACAAATAGCACAATAAATGTTATTCATTATCACCACCTACACAGCCAATGTCAATCATCAGTTAGATCAGTCACACTCAGGAGAGTAAAGAAAGAACCAAAAATTCAAAACAAACGCTCATTTGGTGGAGTAGGGGTGTATCATAGAAAAAGTCTGGGCAGAGGATAAAGCACAAGCAGCCAGATGGGGCAAAATGCTTGAGCCTGGGCCTCTGGCAGGGAAAGGGAGAGATATAGTAGCTTCAACAACTGAAGCAAAGTACAAATACAGTTTTAAGAACAGAGACCCAGGAACAATTAAAACTGCCACAGGAGAGGAGGACTCATCCCTGGAGTGTCAAGCACCAGAGTTAATGGATCAGGAAAGCAAGATCTGAGAGAGAGCAGAGGGAAAGACAGAGAAAGAGACAGACAGAGAGAGAGAGAGAGAGAGAGAGAGAGAGAGAGAGAGAGAGAGAGAGAGAGACAGAGACAGAGACAGAGAGAGAGACAGAGACAGAGACAGAGAGAGACAGAGAGAGACAGAGAGAGAGAGAGATTGCCAATATGTCTGAAGGAGTACTAAGATATGTCTTAAGGAGTACTACGTAATTCGCTACACAACAAGTAAATGCTAAGCATTATCTTTAGAGGGAGCCTTTTTACTTGAACAGAGAAATGGTATAAAGAATGTGTTTAGATAAAGCAAGATGAAAGTAGGCCATTGGGCTAGTAAATCAATAAGTATAACAACAAAACTTATATAATGTGATGGGGTTATTTATATGAGATACATATATTATACAACTTTCATAATACCTCAAAGATAGCAACATGACGAGATATTACCTCTGCCAGAGCATAATGGATACAGTCTCCAGGCAAAGGGCTCAGTTTGGAGATGTCAGCCTTGTTTAGGTGAAACACATGAATTTTTTATGCTTGGTTTATAAAATGCATAAATTCATCTTTTCTTTTTGATAATAATTTCTTCCTTCATTTCTAAAATAAGGTGCTGATTCTTACAAGAATGATGGCATCTACTCCAGATACTTTACAACTTATAAAGAAAATGGGATATATAGTTTAAAAGTACAAGCTTATGGAGGAAGAAACATTGCTATGAGAAGTTTAAGACATCCAAAAAATACAGCCACACAAATATCAGGTCACATAATAGATGGTGAGTAATTCATGACGTCAGAAATTCAGAGTGTTGTCTTGAATAATATTTGTGAGCTGATATGATTAATGCTTTAAAAGGTTTATTACTAAAACTAAAATTATCCCTAGCCTTGCATAATAAATTGGTGGATGGATACCACCGATGGATACCAAAACCCATAGATATTCAAGTTGCTTATATAAAATGGCATAGCATTTGCTTACCCTATACATATCCTCCTGTATACTTTAAATCATTTCTAGGTTACATAAAATACTGACACAATGTAAATGCTATGAAAATTTTTGTTAGACTTTAGATAATACTGACAAGAAATAAGAGTCTATACACATTAGAACAGAGAATAATTTTTTTAAAAAAGTACTTATGACTGTGGCTCATCACATCCTTAGATGGATGCCAACCATGTAGCTTCCCCTATTTCTTTACTGATTGTCTCAGTCATACTGAGATTTGCCCCAAAAGTAATCTAAGATAGAATATAGTATCTAGAATCTAATAAATATTCAATGTATATAAATTTATAATTCTAAATGCCTTAGCTAAATCAACCAGGGATATAACTCAGCTGCACAGTGCCCGCCTGGCAAGCAGGAGGTCATGAGTTTAATTCCTGATACCAAAAATAAATAAATAATAAATAAGTACAAGCAAGTGACAGAATTTATCCTTCAGATTCCATATGTTGTGAAATGCATGTAAATGAATAAATATTTATTTGGAATGTTTCTATTAAGTTAAAAGGAAAACTATGGATTAGGATAAGAGAGAAAGTGGGAGAGAGAAAGACACAAAGAAAGAGAGAGAAAGAGAGAAAGAGAAGGAATTAATCCCTCTGATGGAGTGAGTCAAGGAAGATGGTAGAGCAGGAAGTATCGGGAGTCCACCTCCCAACCTAAGAAACAATTGTGTTGGCAGAATTTCCTTCATATAAGTAGGAGGGAACTCTAGATTCTATTTGAATATTTGTAGCTTTCAGGGGATACTTTCAATGATAATTTGATAATTTCTGGAAAATTAAAACGACCTTCACATCTTATCCCAGGAGTATATACCCATCCCCTCCAGTTCCATTACACATGGCCCATATTCCTTGGTTTGCATAAACCAAGATGAGCAATAAACCTGTTCTCACCACTGACTGATTATTGTTTCTGCATATGGAGATGTAGAAACAGAAGCAGATCTCTTTTGTTATCATCCTCTCCAGCTGAAACAGTTTTCTAGGGTCTTAGATTCACTTTTTCTCCTTCAGATTCCTCTATTTTTACTTAGGGTTCCCAGCCAGGTATTTGAGAATTAGGGCATTCAAAAGGAGCCACAAATATAAGTAATTTAGAAAGCCATCCACACATCCTAACAAAAGGCAGAAGCTCAGAAAAGAACTGAGAATACCTTCAGTTCACTCCCCAGGCTCATCTCTGTCACAGAAGCACTCTACAATGATTTTTTTAAAACAGAAAACTCTGAGGAAGGATAAATCTGATTTACAGTGTTAGCATATAAGATCCAAATGTCTAGTTTTCAACAACAAAATCACAAGGCATACAAAGAAATTGGGAAAAGTGGCCCATCCAAAAGAGAAAATAAATTGATCGGAATTGTCTCTGAGGAACCAGATGACATATTTGTTAGACTTTAAGACAACTTTTAAAAAAATGATCAAAAAGTTAAGCAAACATATAAACAAAGTAAAGAAAATAAAATATGAACAAAACGGCAGTGTCAATAGTTAGAAAACATAATGAGGAAGTTTACATGTAAAACTTCACTAGAGACTTAAGTCAGAAGGAAAAAATCACAGAATTAAAAGACATGATAATTAAAATTATTTTCTCTGAGGAACAAAAGGGAAAGTTTAAAGAAAACTAACAAGAGTCTAAAGAATTTGTAGGGAAACTCCAGGGGACCTATATGTAGATAGCATCAGACAGTCCTAAAAGAGAGAGACAGAGAGAGAGAGAGAGAGAGGAGACAGGGAGAATATCTGAAGAAATAATGACTGAAAAATTCCCAAATCTGATGCAAGACATGAACATACAAATCCAAGCAAGATAAACTGGAATAACTTTTGCTGAGACACATAACTAAACTGACTTTTTAAAAATAAAAAAGAATTTTGAATGCAATAAAGAAATATGTGGCATACAAGAGACAAAGAGAAATTTGCTGGTAATCCTCATTATCTGGCTCCCTTCACACTGAGCTACATTCCCAGCCTCCTACCGCCTACCCTTTACTAATACTGAGACATGGTCTTTCTAAGTTGCCCAGGCTAGGTGATCCTCCTGCCTCAGGCTGACAGAGTGCTTTGATCACAGGAATGCAACACCACACCTGCCTAGTTCTGGTATTCTTGCCTGTAGGGTGACTTTAACTAACAGTAACTATTGCATATTTCACAAAGCTAGAAAAGAGTAATGTGAATGTTCTCACAAGGAATGGTAAATATTATGGTGATGGACATACAACTTATCACAAACACACAGTATCTCCTACACATGTACAATTAGTATGTGTCAGGTTAAAAAGAATCTTGCCAGGAGTGATGGCACACAACTAATTTCAGTTATTTGGAAGTTCAAGACAGAAAGACTACTAAATCAAATCTAGACAACTCAGAAAAAGAATCTCAAAATAAATTAAACAAATAAATAAGTAATAAAGGCTACAAATGCAGCTCATTGGTAGAATGCTTGCCCAGCCTATGCTTCCTAAGCATCCTACAACAACAACAAACGATGCATATCATATCTAAGAGCTCTTTACCTAGCAACAGGTAATATTTTCTGTTATTTATTCTAAAAGTTTGATAGAGGTAGGCACTTGCCCAGAACTGCAAAAGATAAAATGTCTTAGTCACTTTTATCATCATAGGAATGCAGTACTTTGTGCATTGGGTAATTAGCAATATATAAATAGCAATAGGTAACTAGTTGTGGGGAACAGGTGATGCGTAACTAGTTGTGGGTAAATTAAGTGATATCTAGTGATGGGTTAACATCTTGCCAGCTCTTCCTTGGACAGAGGACTAATGTCTAGAATATATAAAGAACTAAAACATTTAGAACACATAAAAAAGGTCCAGCCAAAACAAGTTAAATGAACAGATACTTCTCAGAAGTACCAATGGTCAATTAAAACATGACAAAATATTTGACAACTCTGACCATTAAACAATGCACATTAAGGCATTACCTGTGAGCCTGCATAAAAATTGAAGAGAGTTAAATACTACTGGCATACGATGACAGAGGATAAATATTCCCATTCCAAAAGGAAGATAGAAACCAACAGGACCAAAGCAAGACTGAAACAAGGGCAAACATTAAATTCTGTATTTTCTGTCAGGCACCCAGGCAGGCTGTGGCAGAACTCTAACCACTACAGCATTGCTGGTGGTCGCAGGCCTCATGCCTTCTGTCAGTCTGGCTCTGGTCACTCTTTGTGGCTTTCCTTAAACAGTCTATATGCCTATCTTCTGCAATTCTCTGAGTTTCCACTGCACTTTTGGCTTCACTCTCATCATGTTACACACTGCCATCTCAGGGGCACACTGCCTGGCTTCTCAGGTCTTCTCTGAAATCGGGGTGGAAGCCTCCATGATCCCAAAACTCTTACATTCTGTATGCCTGTAAAACCAGCACCATGTGGATGACACCACAGTCTGTCGCCAGCTCAAGCAGTATCTGGGCCCCTTGAATGGTAACTATGGAAGTCTCTGAAATTCTAGATGGTTGAACAGTATGTACTGAATCCCAAGGAAGCAATTTCCTATGTGGCCCACCTCCAGCATGGTACCCCAGGCTCTCTTATCACAAAATGTAGATGAAGTTTCTGCCAGAGCACAACACATATGACCTGAAGTCCAATAGCCAGTGAAGTCCTTCTTCCCAGATGAAGCCTCGTGAACCTAGTCATTACCATCTGCATTTCTATGAGCATTCTGGTCTTCTGAGATCTGATCAGAATACCCATCAAACTTGATTTATGTCATTCTAGAATTTTTTTTTCTCCAGCATGCATCTCCAAACCTTTTCAAACTCCTCCCAAGAACCAATTCCAAAAGCTTCTAAACCACATGGTCAGGTAGTGACAGCAACAATACCACTAAGCCTGTACCAAAATCTGTCTTACTCACTTTTGTTGTTGCTAGGACACAATAGCTGACAGTCTACTCACATTTCACTTCCTAGCCCAGTGGCTCCAAGGCAGAGATGCACGGTGGAGGAAAGCTGCACATGGCATCAGAAACTCATGACTTCTAAAAAACACCTATGTAGTTCCGGGAGAACATGGCGGACAGATAACAGCAACTACCGGAGGCTCTCTGAAAGACTCGGCTCAGAAGCCAGGAATGGTGCGGACTAACGAGACATAAGTCGGTGGAGATATGCTCTGCTGACTCAGGAACGAACTGGGCTGAGAGAAGCCAACTTGGAATGCAGTCCTGCTGCTAAAACAGGAACAGAAAAGACTCGGTGTGGAGGCTGGAACCGCGCCATTGTAAGCCGCGATTTGGGTTTCCCGCCGCGCGGCGGCTGGCTGCCTCTACAGCGGCGCGGCAAGGAGAGAGATGCGTGGAAGCTCTGAGAACGGCAATCTGCGAACGGCAGGGAGGCGTGCACTGACTTGTGGTGAGGTGAGTGAGAGAAACTGACACACTACCACAGTTTGACTCCAGCGGACTTTCTGGGCCCGAGCAGTCCTGCGGGAGCAGGGTGCAGTAGCGACTCCAGCCACACATCCCCCTCTCGGGCGGGATTGGTGAAAAGTGCCTGGCCTGCGTGACGCTGCCGGCGGACCTGGTAGACTGTCCCAACCCAGTTCCCAGAGCCTGACGGTGGCCGGCAGGGGAGACACGTAGACTGCCTGGTCCGTAACTCCCTGGTGCGCAGCGGTGAGCGGGAACAACTAACTGGCGCAATTGGATCAGGCTGTGGCTGACTGGGAGAGAAGCTGGGCCTCTTATATAAGCTTGCATATATAAGGAACAGAGAATAAGAGGCAGCATGGGAAGAGGCAGCAACAAGAAAGGCTCCTCGGCCCCCAATTCTGAGAAACAGGCAATAGCAGACACCACACCAATACACATAAGGCACCATATAGAGAGCCTCATAGACCAATTCAGGAATGAAGTTATCAATGACCTGAAGCTAGAAGTATGCAGAATAGTTAGAGAAATGCTAAGTACCACCCAAGAAAAAACAGGTGGTGGAGTGGAAGAACAGAAAAAAAGGGGAGAATTGTTTGATGGAGAAAACAGAGAAAGCATAGAATACGTGAAGCAGGTTCAAAGGGACTACCAAGATACTAAGAAGTCTATAGAAGACTGGCATAACAGCTTGAAAGAAACTAAGGACAGACTATCTGAACTGGAGGGCAGATTTGTAATATGGGAGAATGAAATGAAAAACTTCTTAAAAATAACAAAGAAACAAACAGCAATAATACAAAGACAAGAAGATGATAAGAGGATCCACAACTTAAGGATTAAGAACATAAAAGAAGAAGTAGGGACACAAACAAGTGAACTACAAAAGCTACTCACAGAAATAATCCAGGAGAATTTTCCTAATTTAGCAAAAGGTAAAGATACTCAGATGTATGAGGCATACAGGACCCCAGCTACCTACAACCCAAACAGAGCAACACCCAGGCATATAATAATAAAAATTCCAGAAATTCAATACAAGAACAGAATATTAAAAGCTGTCAGAGACAAGAAACAGACCACTTACAAGGGAACACCCATCAGAATTACAGCAGATTTCTCTGCACAAACCATCAAATCACGAAGAGCGTGGGGGGAAATAATTCAAGCATTGAAAGATAATAATCTCCAGCCAAGATTGAGATATCCTGCACAACTGTCCCTGGAAATTGATGGAAAAACAAGGTGCTTCCAGGATAAAGAGGAACTGGGGGAATTTGCAACCACCAATTCAACTCTACAGAGAGTATTGCAGGATATTCTAAAAAAAGAAAAATACAAAGAATCCAGAAATAATGGCAGAGAGGCCACAACGAATGGAGCAGAGAACAAAATGAAGAAGACAAACTGACAGCTACGGACAGAAAAAGAGCTTAACAGAAATGAGGCAGAGAAGATTGGATGATAGGAACAGCTATTTTGGAGAAAATGACATCTTAATAGGTAATACAGATTTAGTATCATCTTGTTTTGAAGTCTCATCTAGCTTTTGTCCTTCTGTCTCCAATGGTCTAAATAGGCTGTATCTTATTGGATTTTATTATGTACAATAGTATAAGCAAAAACCTTTTAAAGACAAGGAGATTATACAGAAACCATTGTTCATTTTGTTAGTCGATTCTAAATACTCTGTAATGCTGTCATTCTCTTGAATGGTTTTACATTGTTTTGATATACTTAATGCTACAGTATACGAAGTTGTACTCAAGGATTTCAAAGAAAGAAACAATATGGTAACTACTTTTAGGTTAGGATTATCTTGTGGTGAAACACTATTCTGCTTAAATGGTTATGTTTTGATCTGCGCTGTTTTGTTGTTATGCCCTCTTTTATCTCAATCTCCACTCCATTATTTACTTTTTTATCTTTATCCTTTTAATTAAAGGAAAAAAAATAGCAGGATATATTATAGTAACCCACTTTGACTTTTCATTACCTTGATTTAAAGCCCTGCATTACTCTCACCATCTGGTTTTTAACTGATGTTCCCCTATTCTGTTTTGCTGGATAGTATCAGGTTCGAAAGTTTAGGCATCAGCTGTGAAGATAATGAGATTCATTATGACGCCCATTCTTGTTGACTTTTAGCTACTTTTGAAGACCTACAATGTCTCCAATGTTTTGGTTTTGTCGGTTTTATTCTTTACTGTTTTGTTCAATTGTATTATAACTAATGATATAGGCAATTCTATTAGAGATAGCGGGAGGCATTATGGTAACCATTGTTGATCACCTTGTATTATGTTTTTACATTATCTATTATGTCCACCCTTTTGACTTGACCGATTCTGTTCTGTTATGTCACATTTGGTTTTACTCTCTTCCAAAAAAGTAATAAGAACTGTGGGAGCAATGAAACCCAAAATGTGTAATAGTCATGGTACAAAAGAGAGGAAAAGAAAGTGCTCCAAACTATATAACTGCATGTATATTTAAGTGTATAAGATAGAAAATGATATCACAGAGTTTTATTGGATCAATGAACAGAACTGTTTGCAGTATCATTGATGGAATGTCCACTTTACAAGCTTTAATTTTGTGACTTGAACAATTATTTCTAAGATGACAATATGTAATCCATTAACTAGTGATTTCCTACTGTTCATTTTTTTTCTGTAAATCTGTATAACTTGTACCCTTTCCCTGCTTTTTTTTTCTTTTCTCCTTAAATAAAATTTAAAAAAAAAGAAAAGAAAAAAAAAACACCTATGTATAGACAGTTTTTGAATTACTAAATTAGTGTAATTTAGTTTTTGAATGACTAAATTACATATAATTTGTGTGACAAAATACTCTAGAGTTGGAATACTCTAAAATAGAGGTCTTCAAAAATAATGAATAAGTAATTCTTACTATCTTTTAAAAGTATCTCTGAGGGACAGTTTCACAATGTTTTTCCTTCTGTATTACCATAGCTGCTGATTATGACATCAAGCACAATAAAACATGACTGTGTTTATATAAAAAAGGAAATGACACATGAGATAGATAATCCCGTTCCATTCATTTTAAAATACATATACTCTTGTGTCTATTAAAAACCAGGAATTTTCAATGCAGGGAAAATTGAAGAGAATGCACTGAAACCTGAAAATAATCAAGACACTCAGCCAATCTCGGAGAGTTTCACCAGAACAGTATCTGGAGGTGTGTTTGTGGTATCACAAGTTCCACCTCTCCCCTTCATTGACCTGTATCCACCTAGCCAAATCAGAGACCTTGATGCCACACTTCATGGGGATGAAATCCACCTAACATGGACAGCACCAGGAGATGATTTTGATATTGGGAAAGGTAAGAGTGAAGTGTTTTATGGTTATAAGCGAAAAGTATTCCTTGCAAAAGTAAAGGTGTAAGGATAGATGAAAGGAAAACACTTTTAAATTGACAGTGCAGCAAGGTATTAATTTCATAATCTGATACTTTTGAGTCAATACATTTTAACATGGTCCCAACTTTTCTTACAAACATGGTAGCCATTTGGCACATTTATATCATCTATCAACATGTAGATAATGGTATGGCTATGAATATCAATTTTGTATGACTCATCATTTTAAGAAGAGTAAATAGAAAGGAATTTAAATGGTATGTTACAGTTCCTAAATTGCTCATATTTTTTTCCTTAGTTCAACAGTATTCCATAAGAATCAGTGGGAGTGTTCTTGCTCTGAGACTATTTTGAAGATGCTCTTCAAGTTAACACTACTGATCTGTTACCAAATGAGGCCAACTCCAAGCAAACCTTTACATTTAAGATAGGAACTCTCTCAGAAGAAAATTCAACCCATTTATTCATTGCCATTCAAAGTGTAGATAAAAGCAATCTAACATCAAAAGTATCCAATATTGCACAAGTAGCTTTGTTTGTTCCCCTGGGAGACCCTACTCCCCATGAAAGTCATCAACATCCTGGAGCTGACATTTCTACCTTGGTGTTGCTGGTGGTTGGCTCTGCTGCAATTGTTTGCCTTATTTTAGGTGCCATCATTTATGTTTTAAAGAGGAAAAAAAATGCTAGTAGACCTAGAACTGGGTTTTAATAAAATCAATAAAATTGGAGCATGTCTGTGAATATTTTAATTCTGCTTTAGATAATTAACTCATAAAAATAATTGTAAGAGGTTTAGTAAGATACTTTGATTAAATATAAACAACCTGTTATATTTGAAATATGTACTAAATTAACACGAATACTTATTATTTGCTCATTATTTAATCATATCTACTGATGAATAAAGAAACTTTTATTATTGACATCTGATAGTGTTATCTGGAATGTATTTCAAACTGCATTAAAGTTAAAATTGAATATCTGGGTATTCAAAACAAAAATGGGGTGAAAAAAGAGCACTATATTTGGGGAAAAATAAATTTTGTCTTGATTTAGTAAGTATTAATGGCATTTTACACATAGAAGTTTATAATAAAGACCATGTTTTTATAGTTTATAATCAAGTTAATATAGTCTCAATAGAAGTCTATAATAATTAATATCATAGTTTTTATGGTTTATAGAACTTGAGATTATACAAATGAGTTACCACATGTTATAGCATACATATTTTTTTTTTGTCTTTTTCATTTTTATCGGTACCAGGGATCAAACTCACGACTGCCTGCTTGCAAGGCAGGCACTTATGCCGCTGAGCTAAATCCCCAGCCCCTTAGCATATGTATTTTTTATCTCATCTCAATATAAACATATATCCTGATACTTTTTCTTTATGGTGGGAAGAATTAGTGAATTTAGTATATGTTGTTCTTGTTTTTAGATTAAAAAATATTTTTAAAACATAATATATTTTTATCCTTTAGAAAGAATTAAAATCTTTCTAAATTAAAAATCTAACATCTTATTAATTTCAAAGGTAGTGATCAAAGTACAATATAATACATCTTGATGAACCCAACAATCATAGGAAAGCATGTCAATTTTCTCATTCTAAATGTATAGGAAGTTATTGATAAGCTATAAATATGTTCTAATTTACATTTTAAAATACTTACTATGTTTTGCTGTGTGACAGAGAATCTGACATACATGAAAGGATATATTTTCTTATAAGAAGGCTATTGTTATTTATTTTAAGGGAAATAAATGAGTTTATCTTAGAGAAAAATGATGAGGAAAAGTGGACATATGTGAAATAAATTGAGTGAAATTGGAAAGATATAGTCATATATATATATACACATATATATAAAATTTGGGAAAAATGAGAATTCCAAGATTCTAACTGAAAATATAGATGAATAGAATTATAATTTAATTCATAAAATAAATTTATTTGATGAATGGGATCATTATGTATAACTACAGTATACCAATAAATTTAACTTACTTAAATAAATAAATTTACTAAGAAAGGGAAAATTCCGATGTTTATGGGGGAACAGAGAAATGAGTTTGGACATAATACCTTTCAAGAGTCTGTGAATGAATGCCACTTAGCATTATTAATCTAGTGCATGGATCCAAAGACTTGGTACACAATCTCAGTGATTAAAGGGAATTGTACATCCACAGTTATAACTAATGAGATCAATTAAATAATGCATGCAGAAGAGCAGAGTTAATGTGAAAACAGGAGAAATAGGAAAATAGGAGACCCTGTTGATGCAAACCAGAACACAGACCATGAAGCCATGGTTTACTGAATGCTGAAAATAATTTCCCCTCATGGGAGTTGGTAGACTTTTGAGTCCAAGTTTATAAGTGTATGTTTCCTTTGTTCTTCCAGCTGGTATTGTTCTCAATTTACAGAGAGAGTAGTACTACAAAAATTCACCTGGGGAACTAAAGAACAGTATCCGCTCATTTGCATCCTTATCTCATGTTGATTTAACAAGAATTATTGTTTTAGGAATAAACCGTTTTAGGAATAAACCGTTTTAGGAATAAACTGTTTTAGGAATAAACCCAATGAAACTCTGTAAGCTGAATCTAGAGTTGTCCCTCTTAAGAGTGTTCAATTCAAATATTTTGCCAGGCATAGTTAATTTGGTATGAGTTCATTTACTTCCTTCTCCACTTCCCATTTAAATTGCACAATTGGCAAGAAAATTCCTACAATTTAGATAGGAAGTGGGAAGGACCCAGAAAAGATAAAAGTGAAAAAAACCTTGATTAGAGGGAGGCTCTGATTTATTCTCACTGTATAAATGGAACACAAGGTCTGCATTAGCATGTTTGGGGACTGCCAAGACAAAAGATCTTTCTACCTCCTATTCCCTCCAGTGGGCTAGTTCCAGCTCTGCGAGGGCTAATGGTTAGGGTTATAAAGGCAAACATGAAGGAAGCTTGGGAGAGGGATAAGCACATGACACCTGGACTTTTACCAAATTTCCGTAGTAGCAATAGAAATATGATACAACAATCAGACCTTCCCTATGTCCTTCCTATACCCCACTTTATTTTTATGGAGTCAGATCCTGTCCTCCTGGTCATTTCTCTCTCCAGTGCTTAGTGAAATAGTTGAGCTTTTGCAGATCTCAGTAATGGGTTATCCCTTCACAGGACAGATTCTAAGTTAGCACTATGTCAGGTTGCCTTCAGACATGTAAAGGTTAATTATAATGATTTTTTTCAATGAACGGCTGTCATTTGTGCATTTAGGAAGTAAATGTAAAAAAAAATAATGATAGGGCCATCCAGATGGTCAGGTGTGACAGCACATGCTTGCAGTTCTAGCAACTTGGAAGGTGAGCACAGAAGACTGAGTCTGAGGACAACAGAGTAAGACCTCATCATAAAAATACAAAACTACAAGACCTCTTTTTCAACAATTATTGTGACTTTCAAGACACAACACAAAAGCATTAAAACAACCACAAAATTCTTCCAAGCATGCAGCTCTGTGTGAATTCACAAGTCTCAAAGTGAGACCTTCCTTTGCAGCAGGAAAAACCAGTGAAGGTAACTGAGACATGGGGACTGTGTAGACTGCTCATTAAAATATATGGTGCCTATCACAGCCTAATAGTTGATCTAGATAATTTATGAATAAAACGGAGTGGGAAGGAAAGTTTAAGACCATCACTTAAGGCATAAATCTAATAGAAAATAAATCTAAAATGTTCTAGTAAAGGACTAGGCAGTCTAATGTAGGATATGACCACACTTGTACCAACCCTGGAAAAACAAATGATTGCAGGATCTTTCAATAAGAAAAAAGAACACACAAGAGGAGTCATCTGAGTGGATGTTGTCCCTGAAAGTGGGCAGTCTTCAGAGTTACAAGCTAAGTATCTCTTTACTAAGAGTCTGCTCAAAGCCATAGTCTTAAGAGGTGGAACATCCACAATCCCAACTCTTCAGCCAGTGAGGAGCCATTTTACCATGCTGATGTGGCTGGAGTTACAAGCATACTGCCTACTAGAGCTATGTGTAAATGCTGGGACATAAAACACAGTGTCTGGTAAATCAAACGATACTAAGAAGAGGACAACTCAAAGCAACAATGAAATCACCAAGGCTTATTGAAACAAAGCATGATGAGTAGTTAAAGTCATTTAAAAGATTCACAAATTCCATGTATACATAGTCTTATGTAGTTACAGAGAGGCCACACTGACACCATTTTGTCCCAGACACATCCAGTTGACAGTGTTTTGGTAGAAAGTGCAGGCCTTGAAACATTCCTCCACCCAAAGTAAAAACATGAGATCTCATAAGGATAAGAAGCAAACAAGCTGTATAATCGAAGCATGCACAATATGAGTTTCTTTGTTCTTTATCTCAGTAAAAGCTGCTTGCTTATGCTGGCCAGGCAGCAGCCATTTTGCTGACCCTTTTATTTTCCCTTTGTTTGCAGAACCCCTACATGTAGTCCCTTCATTTACTTGGTCAACACTAACCCAATGACTTGTTTTAATTAACAGAATGTAGCAGAAATGATAGATGCTTCCAATTTTGTGTTCTTGATAGCCCCAATACAAAACTCAGCTATAATAATGGAGACTTCTAGAGAGGTTTTGAGATGACACAATAAAAAGAAAGAAGGCTTAAACATCCTTGTTTCTCACTCAAGTTTCTTGATGATTCTACTTACAGTCTCCAGGCTCCAATCCCAGACCTGGCTAGCTCAGTCTTCTTAGACTGCAGAATCCTGAAAACAATAAAATGATTCTTTCAACACAGTAAATTTTAGGATATGATCCAAAGCAATAGACAATAGAAACAAACAACCAATGATTCTGTTAGGCAGGATTTCATCAGTGAAACACTGCCAAAAGTAATGTATTATGGATTGTGTCTAGATGTTCCCCCAAAGCTTCATGCATTCATAGATGGGGTTTTTTTAGAGGTGGCTGAATCTAGTGCATATGATGCTGGGTATAAGGGTGTGTGATTACTAAATTAGTCCACTAATTAGTTTGGTATCACCCTAATCCTGGTAGCCTTGAGTACAAAAGAGGCAGAAAGTGTGGTATGAGTGCTACACCTGCCTAGGGTGGTGCCTGTTTCTCCTCCATCTGTCTGGAATGACATCCTGTCTTTGAGCCAGATGATTATGAACCAAAACCTATACTAACTGTAAGCCAAATAATCCTTTCCTCCATTAATTTTGGGCGTGTCTTGGTTACTTTTCTCTCATTGCTGAGACAAAATACGCAACACCAAAGGTGAAGGAAAATTGCAAAATGAAAGACTTTTCTTTGAGAAAAGAGCTGCAGAGCACCACTTTCCAGAATAGTGGAGGCCTAGGGAAGTTGCTCCTCGGGATTTGGTTCATAGGCACTTGACCCCTACAGCCAAAATACAAAGAGCCTGGCTACACCTCTGGCTGGCTGCAGACCTTGACATCATTCCTGTGGTGCTGCTTTTAGGTGCCTGCATAATGCAAGAGTTGTGGGGTCAGACAGAATCTTATTTTAGAAGAAGACCTCGGCCAGCAGTGTGTCCCTCAGCAGGCAGTATGTGAAGCTATGAATGTGAAGCTGAAGGTGCATTGGAGACTCCAGAAGCTTACAGAAGCTAGGAACATGGACCATCTGGTGCTGGGTTCAATTCCCAGCAGAGAGATCAAGAAAGAGAAAGAAAAAGAGAGACAGAGACAGAGAGAGACACAAACAGAGTGGGGAGAAGAGAAGAGAAGAGAAGAGAAGAGGGGAGAAGAGAAGAGAAGAGAAGAGAAGAGAAGAGAAGAGAAGAGAAGAGAAGCAGAGTAGAGGGAAGGGAAGGACAGGGGAGGGGAGACGAGTTATGATTTATGTCAGCGACCCCCAAGCCTTATGCAATTAAGCATTTGTGGTTGGTTCATTGTCCAGCATTCAGATTGGTGTTGTGAGTGCTACATCTGCCCAGGGGTGGAGCCAGGATATGATGTAATGGTGAGAAGAAAGTATGTCTCTCTCTTGCTGGTTTCCATTTTGCAGTTTGCAGGTGCCATGAACTGTGGCCCTGCCATGCCACCTGCCTTGCAGCCAACTATTATCTGAAACCTCCAGAATTGTAAGAAATAAGCCTTTCCTTCCCTAACTTTGGGCATCAGGTATTTTGTCTCAGCGATGAATACAAAGTAACTAAGACCAGAAGAGAAGAGAAAAATACAAAAGATGGGAATAATGTCTTCACATATTGTGTGGATTTTATTAGATACTGGCAGATTCTTCACCCCAGCCCTATTTATAATTAATGCTCAATTCATAATAACTCTCAGTTCCCCTGAAGATTAAAGCTTAGAAGGGAAGACAAATATTAAATCATAGAATATAAATAAGTAGCTTTGTTTTGTTTTGTTTTGTTTTGTTTTGTTTTGTTTTGTTTTTTGAAGCAGGGCCTGGCTATATAGTTCAGGCTGGATTTGGACCCACCTATGTAGCCCAGACTGGCCTCAAACTCATGGCAATTCTCCTGTCTCAGCCACCTGAGAGAAGGATTTACAGGAGTGTGCCACCATGCCCAGCAAATAATAAAAGTTTTCAAAGTGGTTTAAAGTTTCATTCAGTTATTGTATCTCCCATGAAATTCATCAAGTCCATAACAAATAAAATCCTGACCCTTTCACACCAGGTCCATTCATTTCCTTTTACATTATCCAAGAGTCTATAAAATTTTCCCTCAGCATAGAACCCTTGCTATTTAAGCAAAATAGAATTCACCAGGCTGAAAGTATTTTATTAAAGATGCAGGACTGGAGGATATTGCTCAATAAAAGATGAGGAAGTAGAGCCAAAGATCAAATGATGGTGGGCCCAGTACTCAGTCTTCTGACAAACACGCAGATGCCTTTATGTGAGATTCCTGGTGAAAAGTAATGAATTAAACAGGCAAAGTCTTGAAAGCAATGTGGGAGCTACAATGGTTTAACTTAGATTAATTTGGAAACATTGTGAGTTGTAGAGAGTAAGTTGAAGACCCAGACCAGGTAGGAACCATCTTTTTCAGGAAAAGATAATGAAAGCTTAACTGCTGAACTGAGTCACTGAAGAGGCAAGGACTCCCCATAGTATTGTTGAGGGGAGATGGAGTGGAATTATGTCAGATACAATTCTACTCCTGCCCATTCTGGTTCCTCCACCCCCATTCTCAGACAGAATGAGCCGCTCCCCATCTTGTGCCTCATTCTTCATACAGTATTGTGACCCTCAAATTCAGTCATGTGTTTATCTGACAGTACTACCTTCCCACTCCCTTCAATCATACAGAGAACTGTGTTGGGGAAAAGGAAAACATCCTAAGGAGAGCAAATGAAAGGGGAAAAGGGAAAGGCAGAGCATGGAATATTCTAATAAAAATACAGACATTCCTATTCCCACTTCCCTACTCTCTATATTCAGTCAATCAGCAGGTGCTACTAATTCTTGTTTTTATTTGGTGGTGGTGGTGTTCCTTGTTTTTTTTGTTTGTTTTTTGTTGTTGTTGTTTGTTTGTTTTGATTTGTAGATGGCATCTTGACAGTTTGCTCAGGCCTTGAATTCATGATTTTTCCCACTTCAGCCACCTGACAACTGGAACTACAGGTGGTGCCTTCTTGCCTGGCCCTATCAATTTTCAAATTGCCTGCTGCCTGCCTCTATCCTGAGTTTATCTTCTCAGCATCTCTTACTTGAATTATTTATAAAATCCCCTTCTAAAGAGAAAGAAATTGTGAGCTGTTATACAAGTTGTGGCCTGAAGATACTAGGTATAAGGGATTGGAGGCTGATGTGTAATCCAATTCAGCTCCCAGGATGAGGGTTGAAGGGATACCATTTGACAATGTGTAGGCACAGCAATGGGTGCATTGTCCTAATTTACAAGTTGTTTTCCTGATTCATACAAGATTGGTGTGTGAAACCCAGGCCACTTTCCAAATCTTTCTAAACTTGTTCTCCAGTCCTCTAAGGACCCTCTTGCACTTAGTGAGGTCCCAGCACCTTGGTGTCATTGATCATGTCCTTCGAGTCTTTGTCCCTGATTACCTTTACAGTCTCAGGTTTCCCAACTCCTCCCATCACATATAAGGCTCCATCCTCCATGGACCACTTCTAGTTCTCTGTCTACCTCACAGGAGCTCTCTTCCAAGCCTGCAAGCTGCTTCTCCTTCCTCAGGAATGACCCCTCTGCACTATCCCTCCACTTCCATGTCTGCATTCACCTGAGCAGCTCATGCTTATGCTCAGATCTTAGAATAGGTACAACTCTTCCGGGGGAGCATGTTTTTTGGGGGGGCTGTTTGATTGTTGTTTTGTTTTGTTTTTTGTTTTGAAACAAGGTCTCATTCTCTCACTCAGACAAGGTTGGCCTTGAACTCACTATATACCCCAGGTAGGAACTCACAGTGATCCTCCTGTCTCAGTCTCCCAAGTGCTGGTATGACAGGCATGTGCCACCATGCCTGGCATATAGGGAGCATGTTCCACTTCCTACAACCTCCTGGTTAAGTTGTTCTGACTTCATCTAATTCTTACCCCTATAGTTCCCTTTAACTCTGTATCATAATTGTCACTTACTAATTTCCTTCCTGATGGTGAGATTTTTAAAGGCAGGAAATAACCTTCATTATAGTTCCAAAGTCATTCACCATGTTTAGTAAATATTTATTCAATTGAAGCACAGATTCTGTCTCTCCTAAGTATTAATTGTAATGAATTACAAAGTTAGCAAAATAACCACAGGAAAAACAAAAACAGTAACAACCTGATAGTCATAGCATAAGCTACAGGAAGGAAATATATCTTCAGAATGAAATGCTGAATCACTCATCTAGATTAAGGGAAAATTATCTTCAATCAGATGAATATTATTATGGCAAAAACAAACTGGTATAACATTTCCTCTTAATCTTCCAGGTAGCTTTCCAACTATATTTAAACTGATTAAAATCTTGCTTGAATTTTCACTTGTCTAATATTTTCTTTCAGTTTTTCCTATGACCCTTTTTAGACCTCTCTAAGACCTTAATCCTTTGAATTACCTTCAAAAATGTGAAGACCACCCATCAACCACAGAATGGATAAGAAAAATACGATATTTTCATACAATGGAAAGCTACTCAGCTATAAAGTAGTATAATATTGAGGCTCTTTTAGGTAAATGGATGCAACTGGAGGTCATGTTCATGGACAAACCAGTTTGAACTCATACAGGTGAACACTAGCATAAAAAACAGGAGTTAGTGGGATCCAAAAACACAACAGATATTATAAAAGTGATAAAGGAGGAAACACCTAGGAAGAGAAGGTGGTAATCAGTGTTGATTTCTTATTGTCTTGTCTTGAACTGTTGTAATGTTTTCATAATTTTGTTAGATTTGGTTCTGTTCTGTCTTGTTTTATTAGATTTTACTGTGTCTGATGGTATGGGCAGCTATTTTTGAACATAGTGGATGCATTACGGTAATCATGGTTGGTTTCCTATTATCTTGTTTTGAAGTCCTATAATGCTTTCATTCTTTTGTTTAATTGGTTTTGTTATGTTTTGTTTTGTTTGATTTTATTATGTGTGATGGTATGAACAGCTATTTTGAAGAAAACAAGACATTATAGTAACCTTTGTACATTTCCTATTATATGGTTTTGAAGTCCTATAATGCTTTCATTCTTTTGTTTTGATTGGTTTTTGTCTGTTTTCTATTATTGGATTTCATTGTCTATGAGGGTATAGACAGCTGTCTTGAAGAGA